TGTCTCACTGCACCACGCAGTGCTGGCCCGGTCCCCATTGTCCCCAATGATGTCCCCATTGTCCCCAATGTCCCCAATGTCCCCAGTGTCCCCAGTGTCCCCATTGTCCCCAGTGTCCTCAATGATGTCCCCAATGATGTCCCCATTGTCCCCACTGTCCCCATTGTCCCCACTGTCCCCAACGTCCCCAGTGATGTCCCCACTGTCCCCAGTGTCCCCAGTGTCCCCAGTGTCCCCAATGTCCCCAGTGTCCCCACTGTCCCCATTGTCCCCACTGTCCCCATTGTCCCCACTGTCCCCAGTGTCCCCACTGTCCCCAGTGTCCCCAATGTCCCCACTGTCCCCACTGTCCCCAGTGTCCCCGTTGTCCCCATTGTCCCCACTGTCCCCAGTGTCCCCAGTGTCCCCAATGTCCCCAATGTCCCCAATGTCCCCAATGTCCCCAGTGTCCCCAATGTCCCCAGTGTCCCCATTGTCCCCACTGTCCCCATTGTCCCCAGTGTCCCCATTGTCCCCATTGTCCCCAGTGTCCCCAGTGTCCCTGTCCTGTCCCGGCTCTCACTGCACCACGCGGTGCCGGCTGGCAGTGAAGTCGTAGCGGGGCCCGTACAGGAACGGGACCCGGAAATAGAAGAGCAGGTAAATGAGGAGAGGGCCGGCGTACTCGGTCAGGAACACCTGCACAGGTGAGACACGTGAGGGACAGGGGAGGGACACCTGGGGACAGGGGAACACAGGGGACATGGGACACCCAGATGGACAGAGAGGGATAGATGGACACGGGTGACACAAGAGGTGACAGGGGTGACACAGGTGACACACAGGTGACACAGGTGATACAGGTGACAGTCCCTCACCGTGACCCAGCTGATCTGTGCCCCCAGGTCCCGGAAGTAGAGCGTGGCCGTGGTGCCCACGGGCAGCGACTGCAGCACATCCTCGTCCTTCAGCGAGCGCCCCTCTGGGGACAGCACACCTGGCACACCTGGGACACCTGGCACACCCCTGGGGGACACCTGGGACATCCCTGGGGACACCTGGGACACCTGGCACACCCCTGGGGGACACCTGGGGACATCCCTGGGGACACCTGGCACACCCCTGGGGACATCCTTGGGGGTACCTGGGATACCTGGCACACCTGGCACATCCCCGGGGGACACCTGGGACATCCCTGGGAACACCTGGGGGATACCTAGAGACACCTGGCACACCCCTGGGGACATCCCTGGGGGACACCTGGGACATCCCTGGAGGACACCTAGGGGCTGCCTGGGGACACCCCTGGGGACATCCCTGGGGACATCCCTGGGGACATCCCGAGGGGACACCTGGGGGGTACCTGGGATACCTGGGGGTACCTGGCACACCTGGCACATCCCTGGGGGTACCTGGGACACCTGGGGACACCTGGGACATCCCTGGGGGACACCTAGGGGCTGCCTGGGGACACCCCTGGGGACATCCCTGGGGACACCCCTGGGGACATCCCGAGGGGACACCTGGGGGGTACCTGGGACACTGGGGACACTCCGGGGACACTGGGGACAGTGGGGACACCGTGGGGACACCCTGGGGACACTCTGGGGACAGCACATCCCATGGTGACACTCACTGGGGTCCAGGCGCAGCGACTGCCTCGCCGGGTACCACTGGGGATCTGTGGGACAGAGGGGACAGCGATGGTGGCACTGCGGGGACACTGCC